ATATTCCATCTCCGTCCAGTACTTCTCCCACATGTTCTTCCTCCGCCTAATTACGCCGCAAAAAAAAAAATGCGGCACGATGTATCTCCTACTGCTGTGTCTTGTAGCTAGACTTCTAGACTTCTCTTGTTCACGTAACTGGATCTCCTTGGCACGCTTACCGCTGCTGCCCTTGTATTCCAAATGCTGTCCCTGGATCTCCTTGGCGCGCCTGTCGCGGCTGCCCTTGTATTCCAAACTCTTACCCTGGATCTCCTTGGCACGCGGGGGCAAAAACCGCCCTGCTGCTGCTGCCCTCGTATTCCAAACCCTGTTCCCTGGATCTCCTTGGCGCGCACAGGCAAAAACCGCCCGCTGCTGCTGCCCTTGTGTTCCGGTGCCTACCTTACGAACCTTTCCCTACCGACGTCAGCTGACTCCACGATATCGTGTTTGGGGTGTCGGCGCGTGTACTATGTTATCACGCTCGCGGGCTCTTGTCGAGAGCGTGTTGCACAAAGGAGTGACTCAAGTTCCTTGATTAACTATTAAAGAGTGAGAGACATGGGCAGGCAAGCAGAGCCTACGCGTCAAGTCCATCACACCCATCATGTACAATATCTATCTGCGTAACCCCCGGAGATCTCGGAGATCTGTATCCTGCCGAGTACATACACAAACAGGCTACTTCCCCCATCCTCCCGGCGACCACCTCCGCCGGCATCCCGGTGAGCATCTGTGCGGCCGCGAGAGTCATGCCCCCTCGAACGGCCTGCATCCTGCCTGGGGTAGTTCTGTGTCTGCGGGCGGTCGTGAGTACGAGAGGGACGGCGGGACCCAGCGTGCCGACGACGCCACAATGTTATGGAGGAACAGAGAAATACACAGGGAAGGGAGCAAGTCCGTTGCTCCTGGCTTCGGGGAATCACAGTTGTTGTTCGATCTCTTGTTTTAGCCTTCTTAGACCACTCAGCGCCCACTCGGAGCGTGAGGGAGCGGGGTTGGGATTTTGATCTTCCTTCGAGCTACTTCAATACCCCTCAACGACGCCAAATATCATTTTCCAACGAAAATTCAAAATATCTAATGAGCGCTCATACATCGTTCATGAAACGCTCGTACAATGCTCATACACTGAATGTAGTTGTTCCAGTACAGCAGCATGGGGTGGAGGCTACACTATCCTCCGGATCAAACGGTAGCAACAGAAGAAACTGCACGCGTCTACCAAGCAAGGCTGTTACCTCGCACTCTAGTTCGTTTTTTCTTCCTTGTTATCGCCATAATCATTCTCATGATACTTTTCACAGCAATCTTTTGGCAGTTCTTCCCTTGCCCTGCCTGCGTCTTTTGTTGTGGGGACGCTGGGGCACCAACCCCGGCCCCCGGCCCCCCATCCTCGTGTATTTTGCCGCTTTTGGCGTCGTCAGACGGTATTGCTCTTTCGTGCATTTGCAAAGCGCACACATTGTGCGCAGGGTCGAAGACCCTGCGCACCCCAGGACCATCTGAGGGTCGGAGCACACGGTCAACACACTCCTTCGTTCGTGTGCCGTGGTCATCATGTTCGGAGGTCAGTGACGGTAGAGTTTTGATCGTTGGCGTGACGTCTTCATGCTGCAGCACATCCCGCCAAGTCGGTGCCCCCCACACCTGGAAGGGAATATCTCTGCGTGAACGACCCCTTGTGTGCATCGAAGTTAGAAGGGCGTACCCGTGTTGCTCCTGAACACTGCGAAGCTTTCCTTGCTGAAAAAGACGCTTGCATGGCAGGGTCGTTCCCCGTTGTATGGCGAAGTTGACAACTTGCGGCCAGCCACCGGAAAGACATGGGGACCACTCCCGCATGTACGAGAGGGGCGAAGACGGTCCTGTCATCTCAGATTGATCCACCCACTCCCTCCAAGGGCTACGCGTGGTCACACGCGTCTCGGGATAGGTTACGGTCGCCCGCGATGTGCCCCACACGAAGATACATCCCTTGTCATTTGTCAGCAATTCAAACGGTTGCCCCGAAAGTCGGGTGAAAAGGAAAGAGTAATTTCGCCTCAACGTCTCTCATGATCGCTGTGCAATTAGCTACCGCTGTTTGGTTGCTTCGGTAGCGGACAAGGGTTTGTGCACGCATCAGTACTTCCACAACACAAGTGTCGTGTCGTTTCTCCGCCAGCAAGGCCGGCTGTCTTGCCAAATATTCTTACACATTTTCCTCGACTGCTGTATTGCGAGCAGACGGAAGCGCCACGACTCCGGTGCGCAGCAGTAGGAGGGGCAGGGCTCTCGATGAGCCGACGTCGTCTGTACGCCGCGAACAAGATGCTAGGGAGGAGAAGCGCCCAGCACTCGGTCCTTCTGTGCCGCGTCAAATGCCCCTCTTTGACGCTCCCGAGGTGGGTTCGACCTTTGTTTCGAGAAGGAGGGTGAAGGGGGACACTGCGGTGTGTGTACCTCACCGTATTGCAGCGGTAGTTCCGTTTGATGCGCCGTCGAATACATAAGTCACGAAGGCGTAGCGCTCGCGAGGGTTGACATCGCGATACGCTTGCGTTTGTCTTCCACCTTACACGTGCGGGTTCACATTCCAGGCTAGCGACCGAGCTGAAGCTATTCGATATACTCGTAGCATAGCATGCGGGTGGTATATTGCGTATACATATGCTGGTACAGTAGGTGGCCCGATATAGTGGCATATAGTGGCCAGACAGAATTAATTGTGCCACTATTCAGGGCAGGGCCACTATTCGATATAGTGGCACTATTGCCACTATTAGACAGTCGATAGTGGCAATAGTGCCAATATATCGAATAAAGCGCTTCGATGTTCACGCTGTACACTCATTATGCGCTGTAAAGCCGTGCATACTGTTCCACTCCTCGTGCCACTCCTCGTGGTTTATTTGTGTGCAGCAGTATCCGCATGAAACACATGAAATGGCCGTTGATTATCCAACGGTTACCGAGCCTTCTGTGGTCAAGACCTGTTTTTTTCTGTGCAGGCAGACCACAGGAACCACGTCCAAACGCATGGTATCATCCGTGGCATATCATTTCTTTTGTCCGGCGGGCAGTGTAACATGGGGTTCAACACTACGTGTAGAACGCATGAAAACAGCAACGTAGAGACGCGAAACTAACTGAAACAGCCCTACAGCACTAGAAAAATCAAACAACCCCACCCCGGCGCATCAACCCAACCACCACGATGCTCTGCAACTGTAGGCGTCAGCCGACTGATTGCACTACGAGTCGGCAAACACTCTAATGTCCAACTGCCGTGCCGGTCTAGCGAATGTAGCTGCCAAGAATGCCATTTTCGCCTTGCGGAGAAAGTGCCCGGCGTCACCAATGCCACACGACTCTGCGTATTGTTCTAGAGGACCAAAAAAATCAGCCAGCTCCGCGAACGACGGCGGCGCCTTCTTCCCACCACCCCCCGCACTCTCAGAATCTTTGGCGCTGTCTAGCTCGTCGTCGTCGTCAGAAATGTTTTCGTCCTCCTTGAAAGTGTTGTTAACCTTTTCCATGAAAATCTCCTTTGCGTCTTCAGACAGAGTTTCAGCAAACTCGGGTTTCTTCTCCAACCCGGCCACCAGCTTGTCCCTGACGGCGATCCCGAACGACTCGATCGTGGCACGCGTGATAGGCAGCGGCACTTTCGGCGCTTCCTCTATCAAGGCCAGGACGTCTTTCTCCAACTGAAGAAAATTACGAGAATTATTGGGGACAGAAAACGGAGCACGTGAGTCGCGCAGCAGTAGAGACACAGCCCGACATGCAATGTAACTACTGCTTACGCCGTGTCCGGTGAAGAGAACACTCGACGGTACATACTGTACGCATCATTCGAAGCAAGGATTGTTAGCCTCCAAAATAAATCGTCACGGGTCGCAGTATATAATTTCGTACGTGTCACACACGTTTCGCGGGTTAAAGAACTACATATATACGACGACAGTCGCAGGAGGAACAAGACCCTCCAGACACAAAACAAAACAAGACACAGCTGTGTTGGTAAAAAAAGGAGCCCTGCCTCGGGGAGCGTTATTTATTTGATTTCCGTTCTTGAAAAAAGTTTTCAACAAATTTCCAACTACATTGCTGTATATATGTAGAAGCGTACAAGTTTGTACAAATGCGCATCAATTATGTCAACCCCAGACGTGTTGCACGCTCGCTGCACAGACCAACACCAAAAATAAAAATACGCTCCTCGAACACAGATCTAATTTTAATTTTCCCTCCCAAAAACTCATGGCGGCCTCGTCACGATCCTCACGGGCGGGCAGGCTAAGAACACGTAGGTGGCACAATCTATCTCACAGCCTACATCTGGCAGACAGTGCCCTCGACCCTTCGACGGCGGTGGTATCTCCTTCTCTCACGGAATCACCAATCTTTTGTTTGGACAACCGGCGTACAACCTGGATTTCCTGCTACTACTACACAGTACAGTAGTACTACTGCGGCGGCTGCGGATACTGGATTCCTGGACGTGTTCACCTGAAGGAAAAAGCCAAGAGAACCTGCGAGCAGGATTTGGCTCCCTCGTGACTTCCTAGTGGCTCGCTAGGTTCGGACGAGGGTATGTGTGGAGNTTGTCATACAGTACTACTACTGCGGCGGCTGCGGATACTGGATTCCTGGACGTGTTCACCTGAAGGAAA